ATATTATCTGTTCATGGCTGTATAAATCTCAGTTAGCAAGTTTCTCGTATCTCGTTCTCATGTAGGACGGGAGACCCAGCGATGACCACCCCATCTTTCATTTCGGTCATACGTTATTAGATTTCAATAGCAACAGAATCCAAGCCCATGCGAGCCCCATTGGCAGCTAAGAACTTGTCCTTGTATAGGTGACTCGTATGGAAATTATTATTCATACTCCGCTATGCCCTAGGGCGTGCCGGACCCTCAGCTATTTAGTGTACAGGAAAACCGTGCCCTCCCGGGCCGGGTGAAAAACCCATACCAACAATCAAGGAGCGATGCGTTTTAGTGAGCCCACATATACAAAGAGAGGAGGCCTCCTGGCCTCCGAACGGGGGCGCCTCAGGCCGCCGCTTCCAGCTCGAGCCTCCTGGCTAAGTTGTACATCGGCAGCTTCCCCGAGTCCATCAGCCAGTCGAGAACTCTCCTCGCGAGCCGTGCAGTCGTGGGATTGATGCCGTGTAGAACAGAGTAAAAGTCCCGTCGTGTCCGAATTCCAGTTCTCTCCCATCTTCTAGTCAACGGTGGGGCCAAACACCATACTACCAGGTGTTCGGCAGTCTCTCGTCCCTCGCCACACTCGCAGGCAGGAGTCAGAACCTCCGGGACTCCCCGTGTAAACAAGAAGTCCCGTAAGCCTATTGCTCCCGTCCGGATTTGAATCAGCAGTGAGCTCTTTGCCTTGCTGAGACCGTCGTGCCTCCTTAGGGTTTCGTTCCGGAATAGCGTCTCCTGCTGATGGTCAAAGTCGTCCGCCGGCCTGGTGATTGCCCTGCCGTCCCGTTCCTTTAACCACCTGGCTTTCCAAGCCTCTTCTACTACCCTGTTCGTATCAACGGTTCCCCCCGTCCAGCGCATGACCGTGCCCGCGGCTCTCTCCACCGCCGTAGGCCCTTGAGGTCCCAAGGTTCGCGGTCGGCCCCTGTTGCCCCTCCTCGAAGCTGAGTCTCTCCTGTATCTTGCGGCAGGCGAGTGA